CACCTCAGTAGTAATGGCTGACCACTGGCTACTATTCTGGACATGTAAATATAGAATTCTCTATGGCAGTTCTCCACACGTTTTGATTTCAACCTTTTGTACTTAACATGGTCATCACTATGGTTGTATATAATGAGGATTATCTTGCAGTTTACTTTCTATTTATGACCTCTGTTTTTTGTTCACATTTCCTTTGTGTCTTATGTTACACTGAAAATGTTTTATCATTGTATGTTACATTAACTCTCTCTTTCTTTCTTTTTGCTTTAAAGGCTGGTTTAGGACAGAGGTTCCCTCCCAATAGGGAACAATTTTGCCTCCTAGGGACAGACATTTGGCAGTCTGGAGACATTTTATCACAATGTAAGAAAGAAAAAACAAAGGTGCTACTGGCATCTAGTGGGCAGAAGGCAGACATGCAGCTGAATTTCCTACAGAGCACAGGACAGCTCCTTTTACCTAATTATACAGCCCGAGTGCCAATAGTGCTCTAGGATTACTAAATACATCTTTAGCTAATCAGTGTCTTCCTACAAACAATATTATATATACTCTTTATGGAATGTAAAAATCCTACAGCCGCAAAAAACAAACAAACAAAAAAACCTTAGGCCCAACATGGTGGCACACATCTGTAATCCCAGCACTCAGGAAGAAGGCTAAGACAGGAGGATTGCAAGTTCAAAACCTACCAGGCAAATTTAGCAAGACTTTGTGTCAAAAAAGATCTAGGGATGTAGCTCAGTGGTAAGGTGGCCCTGGGTTGGACCTCAATGACACACACAAAAGTAGCAGTCATTTTATAAGAATTAATGTACAAAAAGTACTAAGTACAGGTCCTATATATGACAGCTGTTAACTCTCAAAGAGTAATGGTGATCATTAATACAAGATGTTAACTAATCAGAAATAAAGGAACATAAAGACATATATACCTGAAGAAACCATAAGAAAGTGACCTAAATCTACACAAGGTCTAACATTTGCCCCATTTAAATGCCTCTCGGGTAACTCTCTACCATAAAGCAACAATGGAACTGGACTCTACTGGGCTGGCTGGCAAAGTCTGACTTCGAAGAGAATTTCAAGAATCTTTTGGCCTCTGATATACAATCTCTTTTATTTATCTACATTTAATTGAAGACATCTGTAAGTGGTGCCACACAAAATGTAATTCAGACTTAGAACTGTCAATAAAAACGTCTGTAAGGCAGAGGTTCCATGTAAACTTAGCAGGGGAGTACACATCAGCAGCTACAGAGCCACACAGAATTAGGAATAGAATGGAAATATGTTGCCTGACTTGACAAGGTGATAAAAGCTCTTTTCCCATAAAGCTTAATGAGCGCTATTAGTCTTCAGCTTACAGGAATGTAAAAGGGTCAGCCCTACGGAGGAAAGTAACTGACTCTCCACACATGGTCCATTCAAATGACAACATATCAAATTACTGATGTAATTACTATAACCTGACAATTTCATTAGATTCATGTGGCAGTTAACTTTAGGGCTTACAACAAAGGGACATGGTTCACTCAAAGAAAGTTTCTGGGACAAAGTAAAGTTTAAAGTCTGCTTCATTTTCAACTGCAAGACTCAGTTTATTCTATCAGAATTATTTTTCTTTTCTTCAAAATTAGGGAAAGTGTTGGGAACTTCCCACATTTGTAATTTCCTTCTCTTGCTAAAATATAAATTTAATGAAACATTTAAATACTCAAGAGACTTCCAATTTCTATTGCCTTAGCTGTGAAGCACTGTGTGATGACCGAAGAATGAGCTCAGTGGGTGCTGAAGGAGAACTGGGGTATCTGCCACTCACTAAGCTATCAGGTGGCCCTGTGCCATCCAAGCTAGAGAAACATCAACAGAAAGAACTTCAAGTACTTCCTACCCGAAAAAAGAGAAGCACATTGGTCATCTTTAAATTATTTTTCTCTTCCATGTCCAAAAACCAAGTAATGAAAAAGATCAACTTAGCCAAGGTGAAATACACCTTCAAATCAAGAAAGCTATCAGAAAGTGAAACTATCAGTAAATTTTGATCATGACACTTTCCTATTTTTTACCAAAGATTAAAGCTTCCACACATATACTAGAGTAATTAACCAGAGTAGTAAGACACAATTTAAAAATATATTTGCTTGTTAACGTACCAGGTACACCCAAAGCCCTATCTATAACTGATTTCATCCAAAGATGAAAAAACAAAGCTCTCAGTCACAAGTAGCAACAATCTAACTGGGAAGGTGACTGTTTAGTTGTTTTTTATTTTAAAGGAAAAATAAAAATAAAACAGTTTAAAAACAGGTTAGTAACGTCATTAAAATGCAAATATTAACACCTTGACTACTATTGGCTGAGTCCTGCTTAAATATCAATAAATGACTGCTACTTTCAGCCTGACTCCAAGGCCATTCATCAGTTTGTCCCTGCACTCATCCAACAAATATTTATTAAATCAATGCCTACTTTGTACTACTTATTACACTAAGAATGGAAATACAGGTGAACAGGGCTCTCTCTCTCACTGAGTTTATATTAGAGAGAATTTTACTGGTGAGCTCTACTTAGAAGTGTTTTGCAGTTTATAAGTCAAATTGCTGCTTACTTGCCCATCAAGAGGAAGACACCTCGTTACTGACTCCTTACTGACTCCTTGTGCAGGGAAACCAACTCACTCTTAATTGCCACCTGCTAGGAACCCTAATTCCTGGTCACACTAAGCTCTTGCTGAAGTTACCACATCTGCAAACACTGATTTCAAGAACTATGAACAAAAACTACATCATGCACCTCAATCCATTGTGGGTCTTTTATTTGAAGAGTAAAAGAATTTTAATATTTCTTAATAGATATTAACATTGTGTAACTCCCTATCAACTAATTTATAAGCAATTAAATTGTCTTTAAATTGAGATTTGCATGTAAAATTTTGCATCCTTTTATTTCTTAATATAACAAAGATTTTATATTTATTCAGTAATATATACTCAAGAGAACATGCATTCTTTTTTTGGTAGGAGGTTTCATGCATTCATAATTTTCATTTAAATGGGTGAAGAGTGTCCTATATTGCGGTTTGGTAAGGATTTATCTGCCCATCTACTGCTGTTAAGACATTTAGGTTGCTTACAATTTTTCACCATTATAAAAAATGCTGCAATAACATTATTACACAAGTACTGTCTCCACCTTTGATTACCTCTCTGGCAGTGCTTCTTAGAACAGAACTATTTAGCCGTAAGGTATGAATGCATATAAAGCCTTTAGTGTATATAGCCTAACAGCCTTTTATGAAGAATAAAGTTTATAAACATCCTATTTCATCACATCTTCCCACTTAAAAAAAATCTTGGCAGGTAATAAATGTAACTATTATTTTAAATTATATTTCTTTGATTAAGAATAGGGTTAAACTTTTAAAATATATTGATTACTTCTTGTATCTATTTGATAAAATCCAACCAAATTCTGTATAAAAGTTATTTTTATTGATTCCAAAAGGTCATTACAGTTAATATAAGACTTTTATCATTCTTTCCCCCAAGATGCCATTTAACTATATTTACATGTACAAAACTGTGAATATGTAATAATCAAATTAGTTTTTTTATTGTTTCTTCTGTAAACTTCCTTCTGCTTCTACGGTTAGAAACTAAAGAGAAAATTACAAATTTATACAAGTTTCTTCTGGACTGAGTTTTCCTTTACATCTAACGCTTACTTAAAATTCTATCTTTGAGGCACTGTTTTAACATTTGCCATAAGTCACCTCATTTAAGTTTAATAACCTTGTAAGTATTTTTTCTGTTTTTAGATTAGAAAATAGTAGTTCAAAGAATTAAATACCCTGCACACGGACCACCCAAAATTCTCTTATTTCAAAGCCCAGAATCCTTCCACTGTATTATTTGCCTTCTCCTAGACACTAGAGGCTTAGAAAATGTGACCAAACCCAGATGGTACCAGCCTCTGTGTTCTTGTCTGTTTCTTCTTCCCACTCAATCTGGCCAACAACAGTTTCAATAATCAAATGAGCACAAGGTTATAGAAACATAAAAAAGGAACACATGTGTGTAGAGAGGTTCAGGATGACTCACAGAGGACATACTGTTGAGCTTAATGCTAAAGAGGAGCATGATTTGAACTCACTGAGAATGGGGAAATGAAGCTTAAAGTAAGAGATGCAAAGGGAAGAACAAGAGAAAGGCAAGCAAGAAACAGGGAGAGCATGTGTTGCAGGGTCTCCACAGTACAGTTTACACACTTGTTTCCATGAGGCAGTTTCACCTGCCTTATTTGACAGGTAGGAATTGTTGCATAAATTTTAAAGATAAGAAAATTGAGGCTTGAGGAAGTTGTGACTGCCCAGTGTCACAAGGCTAATAAGCGAAAACATGCTCTTAAACTCAAACTTGGTGTTGTCTAATCATCTCTTCACATGGTTTCCTCCCCTTCTCTGCCTTTTCTTCCCACTCTTGTCAATTGTCTACAAATTCGTCTGCAGCCACAGCTCACAGGAACATCTGGTTCTGAAAGGGCTGCTCTTTATCTCACAATTTTATCACTGAATTTTTGGTTATATATTGAAAATAAAGATTAGGATTAAATGAAAAGAGAATGAAGTGCCCAGAGCAGTGCCTGTGCTCTAACAGACGCTCCCCTCCAAACACTTCGTTGGTTTTTAAATGGCCTCTCAAACCAAGTCAAAACTTCCTGATGACAGTTTTTCCCTGTGCTTCCTCTAGCTCTCTTTTAACATGAGGATAATTTACACAGAGTTAAATAAACAAGGTATGGGAGTAACAGAAATACAACAGCCTTACTTCTAGAAAATTTTACCAGAAAGGGCTTTGTTCATCCCATTGCTAATATTGAAAAATATGTGTCAGTTCAAAATCATCACTCCTAAATCATCAAATAAATGCTTAAGGAAAGAAACCAACAGTATGTTTAATCAGCTATTCTAGTATTAAGGTTAGTGAGTAAATTCTTACCTCCAAAGGTGAACTGCAAAGGAATCTTGTGAACTGTAGAGTCAAGTTTGAATGCAATCAATTTCATCCAGTAAAAGAGAACATAAAGAAAAATGAAAAAATTACTATACAATTTTCCAGTAAGAGCATCCAAAGCAAATCCAAAAGTTGATACAAAATATTTTCATACACGGTATAATTTATCCACAAATATAGAAAGGTTCATCAGCCTATAGTAGATACTCAACTATTAGTTTAAAGAAATATGCCTAAATATCTGGATAAAAGCAAACAAAGGGCCAAGGATATAGCTCAGCAGCACAGCAAGCACCAGGTCGTGAATTTGATCTCTGGTACCAAAAAAAAAAAAAAAACCACATAACGCACAATTAGTTATTAATATATGTATTTTTTTAAGTTTTATCTCAAACTTTTGTATCATAAAAACATCCTCTGACGAAGGAATCAACAATTTTTTTAAAATTTAAAGAAAAAAAACAGAACAGTAAAAGGGTACATACAGAATTTCAAAAAAAAAAAAAACAGTAAGAAATCACTAGTTAATAGATTACATACTGTCATCTTAGAAATAGTTGTTCAAGTTACAAAATTAAAGCATACAAAGTGGACATCCAAACAGTGAGACTGCAAACACTTGTGTTCAATGATCCAATAAAAACTTAGTAATATGGAATCGACAATCTTCTTGACCCTATGCCACAGGCAAACTTAATTGCAAGAAGGCTATAAACCATAGGAAGAACCAAAACAAAAGGAGATGCCAAACACCAAGATCAAGAGAGGAAAGTGAGAGAAAGGGAAGTTTTATCTCTACAATTTGGCACTCCTGCTCTGGTTTGCATCCTCTCTTTGCTCAGTTCCGTAATCCTCTTCTCTCCTTCCTTCCCCTTTTTTTCTCTCCCTCTTAACTCACTACATCCCTTTCTCCCTCTGCTTTCTCTTGCTTTTTATAACAAATATATATATGCATAAAGAATACCACACTGGTCTAAATGTGATGTGGTATTTGTCCCTTAGCATTTAAATAAAGAAATGGGTAGGGGACAACAGGGCGAACAAATAACAAAGCAAATCACAGATTAGCTCTGGAATGAGGACTGTCCCATCACTTCATACATATACAGGGTAGTAATTCACAATGTTTTCATGGATTTCCAGGATTAACATTTCATATCCTTTGAGATTTACTGTAATAAAATACCTGAGCAATATAAATTCTTCATTTCTCTAATCAAAAATTAACTATTCTGTTGTGAAGCACTCTTGAACTTCCTCTCCAAAACAAAGCTGGTTAGCATATACAAAGAATACAAATAATTTACATTCTATGATACCTGGGATTTTCTTCTAGATGACAAGGGGAAAGGCAGAGTAATGGGGCAGTGTTTAACTAAAACACTGTCCATGATGCTAAACCCTGAGGGTAGGTGATAAATATATGAGAATTCATTACATGATTATCTCTACTTTGTGAATGTTTTAAGTTTCCCATATTTAAAAACATATCAGATGCACCCTCCCCAAAACTTAGTAAGTATACACTAGTGCTTGTTAAATATACAAAACTAACTGGTATCATCTAGGCATTGGGTGGCATACTAAAATGCAGAGAGACTAAGATTTTTTTTCTTAAATAACAATATGCAATTCTATTATTAATTGTTAAAAGAACTTTCTGAAAGTGCAAGATATACCAAAATACTAATATTTAATTATACTGATATGAAACAAGTAATTTTAGTGAAATTGAAAATGCAACGTTTTCTTCTCTAATAGTCCAATAGATAATTGCTACCCTTCCTCTCAAGAGTAAAAAGAGCCAGCTCAAAAACTAGGCAATTTAGCAAAGGATAAAAATGAAGCATGATGAATTTCTACTTTAAAAATTCGATATTTGATATTGTAGGGTTTCTATGCACTACACAAGCACTTTGACTATGCTACATCCATACTTTTGAATTTAAAAGTGGTATTTAATCAGTGGCAACTGATATTGAGGGCAAATGAAGACAGAAGTTACCTCAAATAACAAAAGAAAAGTGTATAAATATTGCCTAAGAAAACTAGTATCTCCTTTGAGTTCCATTAATTTATATACATCTTTGGCACGTGTATAAGCAACATTTATGTTATAGCTTCTTCAAAATAAAGCAAAAACTTCTTGCCTTGTTTGAACTGGCAACTATGAAATACATAAAAGTTTTTAATCCTGAAACAGCAAAAACAGAATAACAAATCACAACATGTATTTTCACATTATTCCAATAAAATAAAAAAGATTCCACATTTTACTTCAGCTAGTTAGGTGGTGGATCTCTCATCATTGTACCTGTTAGATTCAGTACAAATACTAATAACTTAAAAAAACAACAATTACAAAAAACATGACTGCAAAATACATTTTTCATATACACTGCAGCAAAAGTAGATGTCTTTTAACAAACATTTCCTCATCAGGATAAGAAAAGACTGTGTCAATGCTGCTGCGAAGGTAAAACTACTTAAAAAAAAAAAATCTATTAAAAAAAAAAAAAGAGGCCAAGCATGATGGCACGTTCTTGTAATTCTAGCACTTAGGAGGTTGAGGCAAGAGGACTGCCACAAGTTCAAGATCAACATAGGCTACACTGTAAGTTCAAGGCCAGCCTAGACACCTAAACTACATACTTAGCTTTTGTCTCAAAAAAAAAAAAACTATAACCACAGTGAGTAGCTCAATACTGTTTTTTAACATTGTTCCACTAACATAGTTAGTAAATAAATAATGGGTATAATTTACAGAGAGATTCTATTCAAGAATAATATTAAGAAAATAAAAATTTTAGCATGCTTTGAAAATATCTTACTGATTTTACAGATAACAATGCACTTCATCGTTCCAGAAATGATTGGAAACATTTTGTCATATTCTTGATCTACTCATTTTAAAGCTTATTTCTTGACTTATTCGAGTTGAAAATAGGACTAACCTGCCAAACAGTTGACTTTTCAAACATAAACAGGTAAATATTCTTTGACAGTATTAACAATTGTTAATGTGATTCACTTGATAAAACTTACTTAAAAAGTAACTATCAATTAACCATCATATCTTAAATTTTTAAAAAGAATATAAGGATTAATGGTCTATGATGAGTCTGTGCATAAATGGTCTCAGTATAACTTGGTTTTTTATCTTTTTTTTTTAATCAGTACTGGGGATCGAACCCAAGACCTGCTGCTTGCAAAGCAGGCGCTTATGCGGCTGAGCTAAATCCCCATCCCCCAAACCCTTTAAGTTCTAAAACGAAAATAAAGAAACAAACAGATCAACACTCATACCACTGCTGCTGATCTTCCTGCTTTTCTTACATTAGTAGCATCTCACTGCTATACCTGCTACTATCACTCTCCAGCTCACTGCCAGCTTATTTCACACATCTCCTTGTTGCTTCCAAAAAAGCACTCATTACTTACCAAAGTTGCTAAGGAAGTTTTTGCTGGACCCCAATCTACTGCACTTAGTTAAGTTTGCCCTTTCTCTAAGAACAAACAAAGGTTGTTATTAACCATGCGAATTAGGAGAAAAGAGGGAAGCATTGAGAAACAGACACTTCTAATTTTGTCAAAAGACATCAATAAGACTATAAATCAATTGTTTTATCTCAGTAATATAAAATATTCAACAAATTCATTAAATTTCTGAAAGGCCTTTTATTTTACAAGGAACCATACTTAAATTCCAATATCCAAATAAAAGGGGAAGCACTGAACATCAAAAGAGAATATCTGTGAAGAGAAACCACATTTTATAATTTTGTTCTAGTCAGGCAGGTGTGATGGCGCATGCCTGTAATCCCAGCACTCATGAAGCTGAGACAGAGAAGGCTGCTGAGAGTTTGAGACCAGTCTGAACTACTTAGTAAGACTCTGTTTCAAAAAACCAAAACAAAACAAAAATTCCTAAACCAAAGAACACCAAAGAGTTATCTCTACTTGTTAAAGCAGAATTCCAAGTCTGCTCATATCAATTATCCAGAATTTTCTTGCATTAACAAAATACTTCTACTGGTCACATTTCCTTGACCTTTCAGTTATTGTATGGTATTAGTCTGTTAAAAATTATCAAAGGGCTGGGGATTTAGCTCAGTGGCATAAGCGCCTACCTGGCAAGCGCGAGGTCATGAGTTCAATCCCCGGTACCACACACACACAAAAAAAAAATTATCAAAGGACAAGTTGAATAAGATTTGTTAAAAATTATCAAAGGACAGGTTAAGAATAAGCCAAAAAGTCTTTATTTAGAATTTTATGATTATAAATCAAAATCTTAATTCAGTTAAGATTCTAAATTACATAAGTAAAGGCTGGGGATTTAGCTCAGCAACACAAGCACTTGTCTGGCAAATGTGAGTTCGATCCCTAATACGAAACAAAAACAACAAAAAACACATCTATCCACCCTAAATTACGTAAGTAACGTTTTAGATTCCCTTCTCATCCTCCTACAATTTCTGATACACATTTATACTATTTTAAATTAGATATTTTCAGGCAGTGGAAAATTAAGTTAAGAATGTCATAAATATACATTTCTTAGAAACTAATTTGACTCCACAAAATACTTCGTTTCACACATTGCAAAACATGAAGCCTTTGAAAGTAACCTAACGACATAGCTAACACTCATTTCAAAAGCTTTTTGTCAAAAGAATAAGAATTAAATCTGTACTTAACAGAAATTCAAAACTAATATTTAAGAACTAAGATCTTGTCTATCCTGTTAGTGCGGAATAAGGGGGCAAATGATTTAGGTGATGCTCTGTTTTGTTTTGTTTTGTTTTGTTTTGTTTTTTTGGTACCAGGAATCAAACTCAGGATCTTGCACTTGCCAGGCAGTTACCTTTTTTTGCTTTGTTTTAAGACAGGTATACTGCATCCCATCTGTTAGCAAAGTAGCTAAAAGGACTCATCACTTACACTGTCTCTTCTGAGTACACCTAAACATCAGACAAAATATTGGGCTTTTTTTTTTTTTTTTGTCTTTTTTGAGA